GTTATTACATTACTGTTGGTCATCTGTCCATCATCGTATAAAGCCCGCCCTGACAATTTGATTGGATCGCCTGACAGTGGGCGATAATACTCGCGCTAATATGGAGCAGAGCCAGACCGAACTTCCCCGACCTCAAACTTTGTGGGCGGGACTAAGTTCGGAATGGCACCCAGGCTACTATTCCTTGGTTCTCTGATTAAATACTCATTATGCATTCTAATTTCTAGGTTGATATGAAGGTTTGAACTGCACCCTTTGAGATGTTTGAAGTTTAAGTTGTTTTTTTTTAACAACATCAATACAACATCCATTGCTCCTTATAAAGCAATTTGTTTAATGTTTAATATAATAGGCATACTTTTTTTTTCTAGTTTACTTATAGCTGATGTTTAAGGTATTTGGTTGCATTGGGTTATATTTAGTTAGATTAGTTATGCTGCTATAGGGTTAGGCTGCTGAAGGGCATGAGGACCACTTTCCCTTATTTTGCTACATTTCACTTCTATTCATATATTTTCATAAACGGATAATCCAGGTACAGAAAGTGAAAAGACTGTACAAAGAATAGTTCCAACCATTCACATTTTCAGCTCCACAACAGAGACTAGAGGTTCACATGGTTAGGTGAACAGGATGGAGGAAAACTAGGCAGTGTCTTTACTTTTTGCTACACATGTTTTACTATTTGTTAGTTTGACTTCTAACTACATTTTCTCTGCTTTTTCTCATCATAGTAGCTTCACCTTGCCTGGCACTGTTTAACTGAGACACCATTCTGAAAAAAGGCATCAACTGGACTGCTGACATTTACAACTTTGGCTATAGATGTTATAGAGTTGGACCTGTTTAGTCCTGTTTTTCTTCTAGGCACAGTTTTAGTGATCGACCAATAACCCTTTTTAAAGCTGATGCTAAAACCCATATTTTGAAATCGATCACTGATTTGCTGCTGATTGTTTGGCACAGATTATTTAGGTTCATATTGCTTTTAAAAATTATACAATGATAACACATGTTACACAAGTCTCAGTTTAAACAAAATGAAAATGATGGATTGCAAATGGAGGGTTTGGCAATGCAGGCACCTTACATGATCTCAAACATGTCTGTTGAATACACTAATGAATCGGATAATGCAAGTACGTATTGTTAGATATGTACTTTCATTATCTGAAAAAAAAAACAAAGAAAAAAAAAAAACAATGTTGTCTACAAATAAATCATCTTTCTGACTTGAAAACCTGCTCAGAACACATTCGCTTCACTGCATCTAGACAGAGCTACCATGGAGCTAGTTCACCATTACCTTCTCTAACATAGAATGCATTTAAGGATCAGTGCTTTGATGTTTCTTTTGTATGTCTGCTTTTGTCTTCTCAACCCCCCAGGTGGCCATGGCAGCAGGCCGCTCACATTGATCCCGGTTCTTTTGGAGGTTTCTTTCTATTAAAAGGGAGGTTTTCTTCTCCACTGTCACTACATGCTTGGTATAAGTGTTTGCTGCAAAGTAAATGAAAAAATGCAAGCAAACATCTACTGTTTCCAAAGGGTCATCCAGGAGGAGTGAATTCTGCAAAGGTCAATGACTTGATACAATTTGATGTTTCCTTATGTGGAAAACTTTTTTATCAATCTGTTTGAATGATTTGATTGAATTGTTTTTGTAAAGTGCATTTAGATTACATGTGAATTTGGCATTTCAGATAAACTGAATTATGAAATTTAATTTAGGGACATCAAAATACGAGGGGCTGGACACATGCTTAAACCATATTTTCAGATTACTTTCTGTAAAGGAAATTGAAACCCTTCTATTGTTTTTCTTCCTCTTCACAGTCCTACTTTTTATCAATCTATCACAAAAATTCCTCCAACACTGTTAAATCAATTTACAAGGCAGTGTAGTTAACTTGACAACAGAATTAAATCAGTGGAACATTTTTGTTCAAGGTTAGTTATAGGTTTGCAGAATAAGTCTACTGGTTTTATATTTGGTAGGTGGAAAAAGAGACCAAATTTTATATTTTAGTCTATAAGTTTAAGTCATTTTTAAATAACTGTAATGACTGAATTAAAGAATACTAAGTATGACAGAGATGGGTTTTTTTTGTTTAGTTTTTGCAACATGTTTTTTCCCTGCCCAGCTATGTGCTAATCTAGTAGTGAGGGTGTTATTACCAAGAACAGCTACAGCAACAGCACCAGCAGAAGCAACAGGCGTTTGAGGCGTTGGTGGGGGTGTTTCCCATTTTGTGGTGCACTTCGAGGACACTGGCAGCTGCTTCCTGGTGAACCTGCATCTGTCTCTTGCGCATCTCCGCCCGCTCTGAGCCCATGGACTGCAAGGAGATACAAAAAGGTTAGACCATCCATCCTTCCATCTTTCCGTCCGTCCGTCCAGACGAAGCCTCTTGAAGCTTTGTCTGCGTGGTGATGGCTGGGTCTTTCAGAACAACAGTTTACAGTTTGACTGAACTTCTTCCATTGTGGTACCCCACTTGTTGCCCCTTCCTGCATCTAACCCTTTGAAAACATTTAGGTTGGATGGCTACAGGGTTAGAAAAAACACAAATTCCAGACTTTTAGAATAAATATTTTAAGTAATCAACAGGAAATAGTCCCTCTGTGACACACTCTGCTTAAGGGGGATATACATTTGAACTTGATCGGTTTAAAAACCTAATCACTTAGAGTTTAGACTGTTTTAAAATAAACCACCAAATATAATAGTATTTTTCTTGAGGTCCTGTTTCTAAATTTTGCATATTTTTGCTTTGCTGATGTATACTCTGATCAGAATTGAGCGGCACAAATGAAAATAGTTGGTATTTATTTTCCAGTCCATATAGTGTGGCCTGCTCTTTGCAGAGTTTTTACTATTCAACCACAGTATTTGAGCCAAAGCATCTCAGTCGGACAAGATCATTCCAAATTCTTGACTTTAATTCTTCGTAATTCAATTGGAAATCACTATTATGCTCTGTAGATGTGAAGAGCTTTTTTCTTTTTTAAATGTTGGTCGTTCTGGAAAGTTTTACCACTGTTTCATACTTTGTTCTTTTATAGAAAGTGGCCTTAATAGTGTTTCAAAGTAGGTCCACAGCCTGAAAAATAGCTTTGAAAACCTTTTAAGACTGATAGCTATGAGAGATTTGTTTCCCATCTGTTCTTTAATATATCTTATTTCATGTTATATCCAAAATATATATGGGTAAACCCAATTTTTTCACTATCTGTTTTAATAGTCATCACATTTTCAGTTGAGTTTGGATTTCTTTCTCCTTAAAAAATGAAATTCTCATTTGAAAATTTTGTTTCATATTAAAAAAAAATATCTTTGGCTAATATTGAAATTAGACAGGAGGTCAGACACATTTAACAGTGACAAAAAAAATCCAAAAAAATCCAAAGCTGATAGATGTTCCAATTTATACATTAACCTGCATATGTTAAAACTATATGCACATGAACGTGGGAAGATTCATCTAGCAGAATGCATTTTAATTTGTCCAAATCATCCGCGCAGCCTGGCTGTTTTGTAAACTGCAAAGGGAAACAAACCCACAGCGATGGATTGTGCTGAATGTTAGGGAGGAGAATAAAATCCCAGCATGACGAACAGATCCCCTCCTCTCTGTCAATGAGCATGACAGGCAAGGCGTCACTCCTTGGACCGCAGAGATCACATCCATCAGGCGCATCCTCGGGAGGATACGCACGCGTGATGGCACATACAGGCAAAGCTCTCTGCCCAAAGCAAGCGGCCATTTATAGAAATACAATGAAATCATTTGATCACAAAGGCTGATAAGATGTTGCTTTTCTCCCCTTTGTTTATTTTTTGGGGGAAGGATAACACTAAAAAACATCTGAAACGGATTAAATTGATTTAATTAGCGACGATCATGCAGAAATCATGATGCGGATGACTGATTCAGGAAGGATCTTAACATTTATTTATTCACATTACAGATGCTCCTGAATTATCCGCCTTATATTTCATGAAGAGGAGCGCAAACTCGGACATATCCTTTCAATTGCTTTTATTATAGAAAAAAAGAACAATATTAGTGCAATAAATCGTTTACTTACTGTGTCACCATGAATGCCAGAATACAGGTGATTTTCAGCTCGATCACATCCGTCTGCCTCCGACTTGACACAAACCAGTTGGTGTCCTCTGCGCGCATGCGTTCCATGCAAGTGTGAAAAAGATTTCTCTGCAACCAGATGCAACCACGCAAGAATAGAACACGATCTTCTCAAGCCACAAGCTTCTACTCAGAGCCTGCTTTAGGGTTCAAATTCATTATTCAATGCAAATAATAATAATAAATATATACATATATTTGAAAAAGATAATATCCAGCTGTAAATTTAGTTCATAACACCAGTGATCTATATATTATATTCATTACTTATAATGGTATTCATCTCTATACTTATTACTTACTTAAGAAACAGGACTACACAATAAAGTTGAATCTAATCTAAAAAAAATAAATAAAAAAAATTGACGCTTAATGTAATTTAACGCTCAAATTAAAAGAAGCGATGTGATTTAAAATAAACCTATTTGTTAAAACAAATATTTACATATTATAAATTGCATAAATGTGTTTGCCTTTATGCAATCTAATATGTCCTCCTACCATTGCAATCTTCATGACGGGTGTGCGTAATTTGGATAAACTTGGCGAAAATCGTCCTCTCATCCCCATCTGTATCGCCGCTTCATGAATGATGCGGCTCATAACCACTGGATGCCACCAGAGGGCAGCAGAGATCCATCCTAGGAAATGGATTAAACTCCTTGGAGTATCGAACGTAAAGTTGTACAATCTGACAAAAACTTTCGTCAAATGAATTGAATCATAATTCTAACACATAATGATATTCTAGTCAAATAATTTACTAAAGCATAATAATTCATTAATTTAACATGAAAACAAAAGTACAATTTTAAATTAGGCTGATTGTGTTAAAATACATGTATTACTTTACTTATCATAGTTTTGTTCAAATTCTTAAAATCTAATCTGAAATAAATCTTTAAATTTGATTTGTTTATATTCAGTTCAACACATGTAATCTCAAGGCATTTTACAGACACAATTCAATTGGATCTTGCAGCTCCGAGCCAACTCCCATATCAGAGGATGAAAGAGAGCACAATAAGCCAGTCACAGTCAGAGAAACAGGACTACACCGAAAAACAGGCAGAGCTCCAACATCTATAAACAAAAGTGTTGATGGCAGTAGCAAAGCTGATATTTCTCTCCAGGATGGTGTCACAGCCAAACAGGAACAGACCAGATGAAGCTACTATGAGAAAAAGCAGAGAGAAGATAACATTAGAGATTTAACTAACAAATACTGCAGAATAGGAGAATAGAGTTAGAGCCTTACCCAGAAAATAAGAATAAGCCAAAGAAGAGTGGGTCAGGGTAACTATAGCTTCATTTAAATGACCATGGAGCATATGGAAATAGGCTTACACAAACAGTCCAAATGGCTTTTTCTATATCATTACCACTCCACTGCTGCATGCAGAGAGGAGCCAAGAAATAAATTAACTTCCTAATTAACTTCCTAAGACGAACTTCAGCTTTTAGTCTGTATGTGAAACGTTTTAAGGGTTTTATGCATGAAATTATCATATTGGGACTGCTTGAAGTTAGAAAGTAGAGCATTATATATATATATATATATATATATATATA